GAAGGACGTCGACTTCACCGTTTGCTAGACCGGACAAAGCGTTCTGCAGAACATCCTCTATGACAAAGTTTAAAAGGAATGGGGATAAAGGGTAGTCTTGTCGAACTCCACTGGAGACGGCGAAGGGTGGCTGGCCATAGGCCCTAACCCGACCTGAGGTATGACGATACAACTCTTTGAGGATCGACACACTTCTCAGATACTCCATTTCTCAACAAACAGTTCCATAGTGCGTTCCTATCGACAGAGTCGAAGGCCGCTCGGATGTCTAAGAATACAATGACCGTCGGTCTCTGATAAGCATGACGGTGCTCTAGCAGCTGTCGGAGGGTGAAGATTTGATCGATGCATCCACGACCGGCACGAAACCCAGCCTGCTCCTCACGGGTCTGCTCTTCGCGCGTAGTGTACAATCGGCGGAGAATGACAGACGCCAACAGCTTTGATGCTATCGGGATTAGGCTTGCACCCCAGTGATTGGCGCAGTCATTGCGCGAGCCCTTTTTGAAGATGGGGACGACAATTGATTCCCTCCACGAGGAGGGGACTTGCTCAGTGATCCACACTTTGGAGAACAGGACTTGGAGTTCTCTAACAAGCTTTATTCCATCATCTTTGAATAGAGCAGGGGGATCGAATTGTTACGTTGTGTTGAGTCCTTGAGCTGCGTCATCCACCGTCGACCAACGATCGCAGTGTTTCTTGACCTGAAGTGAGCGTTCGACTCGGTTGACCGCGAAGCTCTGATGGATTCTCTTCTTCGCAAAGGAATACCCCAGAAGTACGTTAGCTTACTGAGGTCACTGTACTCACAGACCTCTGGTCATGTAATGATCTATGATGAACTGAGTGGGTCATCCATCACCAGCAGCTGCATTCGTCAAGGGTGCCCTCTCTCGCCGTTCCTGTTCAATTTCGTCGTAGACGAAATAGCGGAGGACGCACTAAGTCGTCTCCAAAACGTAGGTATTGAATGGGCAGCTGGAGAAAAGCTGTGCGATTAACAGTATGCCGATGACATAGTGTGTCTGTTAGAATGTATGGAGGACGCGCAAAGCGCACCTCATAGACTAACAAATGCAGTTGCCACGTTCGGTATGTGGTTTGCACCTTCAGAGTGCAAAATGATGCCGCAGAACTGGGTTTCGCCTACTCCCGCTCTGAAACTAAATAGCCAGGAAATAATGGCAGTGGATTACTTTTCCCACTTAGGTAGCTGCGTGACCAATGACGGAAGCGCAGCAAAGGAGATAACCGCCCGCATTTCCAAGGCTCGAGCAGCATACGCAGGACTAAAACACCTTTGGCATAGACACGATATTTCACTGAAGCTTAAAGGTCGTGTATATTGTGCTAGAGTTCGTTCAGTTTTGCTTCATGGTTGTGGACCTTGAATTTTCGAGTAGAAGATATCCGTCGACTAGAGGTTTTCGATTATCGGTGTTTACGCAGTTTAGCCGACGTTGGATGGAGCGAACGGGTTAGTAACGTGGAGGTAAGCCGTCGTGTGTTTGGCAGTGTATCAGGTATAAACATTCTAGCACACCTAATTCGGATTAGTGGGCTCCGCTTGCTAGGGCACGTATTGCGTACGCCCAGCCGTCTGCCGCACAAATGAGTAATAGAATCAAAATGTGGAGTAGAGGATAAACGCCACCTTCGATTATCTTTAAATGAGCGACTTGGCGACGACGGTGAGAATTCCAAAATAACTTTGACAAAATGTTATTTTCGACCACTTAGGTGATCTACCCAAAGCAATGCGCACTGGAACTCTTGGGTTCGATGCTTGCCTCCAATAGTCACGGTTCTGAATGGACACGGTTTCAAACGACACTCAAAAAAATACCAAAGGTAGAGTAATGTTGCTTTGTGTTCTTTTCGGCATCAGGGAAGTGAATTTAAATTGAGAATAAGGTTAAACATTATGATTCAGAACATGCCTGAAAAGCAAAACAAACCTGCTAGGAAAAGCTCTTCGAAACTTCTGAATCTAGACCGATGAACAGAGCATATCTGTTTCAGCTCCGAGGCGCTGCGGATAAAACCCTCCAGGGTAGGATCTAATTCAGAACACATCCTGTGGCTGAAGACTTTCTCCACTGATGCATTTAAACACGAGAGATAATTTGGCGTCTTGAAGTGATTCACCGGGACTGTCGAGACTGGGAACCGTATATTTCGAGAAAATTGAGTTCCTCTGGCACTTTTACTCCTCAGTATCGGACGGAGGTTCAAGGAGTATTTGTGTAATGGCAGACTGGGGGCATCCATCTTGATTGTTTAACTATCACTTCCTCCTTTTCCTCGCACAGGCCATGCAGGTGGAGAGTATCACCTCAAGGTTGTTGAGCTAAATAGATCAATCAGGACCGATCGAACCACCTATGAAAGACCCAAAGAACTCTGATTGGTTGCCGTGTCTTCCCCAGAACTTCACCGTATATATACCCATGTAAAGTTTTATAATACACACGTGTTTCCAAAAAAATAGACTTTTCTCTACTCCTCTGTCTTCTGCTGAGTGTTGTGGTATCGGGAGGCGTTGATTACTCGATCCGTGTCGTTCCTCGTTGCAGCTAGTCGCGTGTTACAAGTGTGGCACCCATGGCGGAACCGAAAACGACTAACATCCTACAAAAAGATGTCCGAATTTTCCAGTCCGGAAAAAGCATTCCCACGATTGTTCGGTCCGTTCGCAGAAGTGGAGGCGAAGATGGAGACCGCGTCGCCTCATGAACGCATCCCACCGCTCATGGCCCCGGGGAAATTCATACCTGGGGAAAATTTTGACGTTTGGGAACCGCAGGTACGATGCTATGTTCGCAGACTTTCCTGATCATATCGGACAGATGCAGTGATCAATCTGCTGACGAGGGAGGCTTACAAGTCAGTAATGGACTTCGACCTCCCGGACGATGTGGGCAGCCTGTTAGTGACCCTGAGGCGGAGACTGGCGGGACCAAAAACGGTATTCGAATATCGGGAGGAGTTCTACATGCGACAGCAACGACCCGAGGAAAGTCTGATGGACTTTATGGGGTCCGTGCAGCGCCTAGCTCGGTTGGCATACCCCATGTATACAGTCCAGGAACGCAATTCACACATCCTGGATCGGTTTCTGGCTGGGCTCCGGGAACCCAGAGCCAAAGATGAACTGCAATTACGGCCAACAAAAGACCTTGCCGCCGCAGAGTCAGTTGCCGATATCCTGGACCGGAATGGGCACCAGGTAAGGCGACCTGAAGGAGTTTTTGCTGCAGGTTTCAGACAGGAAGGGAGAGTACCAACCAGAGAAAATGGCGAAAGGAAAACCCCAATGGCACCCACATGCTACACCCGTCGTCAAACCGGGCGATTTTGTGGGGAGCGAAGAGGACCGAGTAAGTTCATACCAACAGTTGTTAATGCCAATGATTTCACTGCTATGAGTATGGACGCAGGGTTACCCTTTGTTGAGGTGAAGATGGAGGGCAAAACAGTTAATTGCTAGTTAGATTCCGCGTCGGTCCGTAGTTTGATAAATAACAAGGAGACTGTTTGGAAGTCCAAGGCCAACCACTCGAAAGACTCCCTTGGTCGCAGTAAATGGTTCACCGCTAACTGTACACGGGAGGGTGGATTTGACGGTGCGAGTAGGCAAACAGAAAGTTAATCACCAATTCACCAATTGTAGAGAACCTCCCGGTTGCCATCGTGTTGGGGGCCGACTTTCTACGAAGGAACAAGAGTATCATTAATCTGGGTACACAACGGGTCTCAATAAGCGGTTCCAGGGTTAACTTTAAGATGGAACAGAAAGATATGAGTTCACACATAAACGTGCTTGCAGAGTTTCCAAACGCTACGGAGTTGGAAGGAGTTTCTGAAGGAGTTCCCGGGGAAACCCAAACTCAGTTCCGGAAACTCGTGCAAGAATACCACTCAGTCTTTGCACGGGAAGGGGAACCACTCGTAGAACCAAGTTGGTTCACCACGACATAGACACGGAAGACACAAGACCAATCCGGCAGACACCACGACGCGTACCCATCCACCGCCAAACAGAGTTGAATAACCTAATAGAAGAGATGCTCCAGCAAAACATCATTAAACCGTCTAAATCCCCTTGGGCCTCGCCAGTTGTCCTGATTAAGAAGAAGGACGGGTCGTTACGCATGTGCGTGGACTTTCGGAAGCTGAATGCAGTCATACGTAAGGACTCGTTTCCACTGCCTCGCATTGATGATACGCTGGACGGAATGTCAGGTTCTAAATGGTTTTCTACTTTGGATCTTGCATCGGGGTATTAGCAGGTCGAGGTGGACCCCAAAGATCAGGAAAAGACGGCGTTTGCGATCCCTGCTGGTCTATAATACCAGGTTCTTTGGATTACCAAACGCACCCGCGACGTTCCAAAGACTTATGCAGATAGTCTTAATCAGTCTGTCACCAGGGGAATGTGTATTTTACTTAGACGATATCGTTATCACCGGTGGCTCGATAGAAGACCACCTAAGACATTTAAGGGACGTTTTCGGGAGCCTACGGAAGGTAGAGTTACGACTAAACCCTAAGAAGTGCGTATTTCTCAAACAGGAGGTGAAATACTTAGGACACGTCATCTCGCCACAAGGAGTACGTAGCGACCCCGGCAAGGTCGAACATGTGCAGCAGTGGCCAACACCAACAACCTTGTAGGAGGTGTGAATTTTTATCGGGTAGCGTACTACCGAAGATTTGTCCCACAGTATTCTGCGATTAGTGCCCCCATGACCGAACTATTGAAGAAGGGGCAGAAGTTCCATTGGAGTGACGATTGTTCAAAAGCATTTGGTCGACTAAAGGAATATCTATGTTCAACCTCAATCCTTTCACTTCCAGATACCAGTTCGGCGGCCGGTCAATTCGTGCTGGATGCAGAAGCCAGTGATGTTCGTATTGGAGCAGTGTTGTCTCAAGTGTCCCCAGATCACACCGAAAGATTTGTCGCTTGCGGTAGTCGAACGCTAAACAAGAGTGAGCGCAACTACTGTACGACTCGTAAGAAGATGCTGGCTGTCGTTTATTTCGTGCGGCACGTTCGTCACGTTTGCTGGGGCGAAAGTTCCCGATTAGAACCGACCACTCGTCATTGCGATGGTTGCAGAATTTCAAAGACCCAGAAGGACAAGTGGCGAGGTGGCAAGACACTCTGCAGGAATACCATTTCGAATGTCAACTCAGGTCAGGAGCGAAACACAAAAACGAGGATGCGTTATCGAGGTGCCGTCGAGATCTCATGGTGACTGCCTGTGGTGATTCGGATCTACGAGATCACGCCTGCCCTGGAACAGCGCGGTACAGTTTCCAGACATTGGTAGTCAATCGACCTTGAGCGCTGACGCCAGTAGCACGTGCACAGCCNTTGGTGGAAACTGAGGTAGCCAATGATCATTTCTTGTGTACATATATATTCACTTTCATTTCCTTCAATAAACGACTTTGTGATTCGCCTGTCGTGTGGCCTTTTCCTCACGTCTCTATCCTGCGGGTTATTGCGAGTTCGAGCCATTGAGGTCCAGTGCCATCGGTTCTCTAATTCCTGTTCCGTGATTCCTATTGCGTGGTTGGTGTTCCGAATTCCGTGCGAATTACTACTACTACTTCTACAATCATTACACTGCCCAACGTGCCGTCCCGACGCAGTCCTGGCAGTTTTCCTACAAGACTTGGGTGAACATTGGGGAGCCGTCCAGAAAGCAGACCTGGATCTAGTTGTATTATACAAACATCTTGAGACCGGTATAGGGTGACCCCATCCGTAGCAGATGGTGGGGAGCAGTTGGGAGGCTCGCTGTCTGTGGTCCCTGTGGAATAAGATTGTTTTCGAAGAGGGAACGATGTATCTGGAACTCGGGCCTACACACAGTCGTACTGTAGTGGTCCCAGAAACTAAGATGTTCAGTTTACTACAATGCCTCCAAACATTGCTGGGACACGTAGGACAAACTAAGCTGGAGCAAGCCGCGAGACATCGATACTAGTTGCCTCACCAGCGGTGTGATGTTCGGAACGTCTGTCTGTCCTGCGAACTGTGCGCTCAATATAAGGGCACTAGACAGCAGAACCAAGCACCTCTGCAGAACCTTCTGACGGGACAGCCCAACGAGATTGTGGCGGTAGATGCAATCGAGCCGCTACCGGAAACGCTCGGTGGAAATCAGTACATTCTGATCATGATAGACCACTTCACGAAGTGGTGCGAGGCAGTACCTATTCCCCGAATCGATGCCCGTTCTACAGCGAAGGGTATCTTCGAATTATAGATATCTCGATGGGTAGTATCACAGCAGCTACCCTCAGACCGCGGCTCCAATTTCGAAGGGCTTCTACTGCGGGAGATGTGTCAAGCCCTGGGGATTATTAAATCTCGGACCACAGCATACCATCCCCAAGGAAATGGTGTAGTCGAAAGAGTTAACCGCACTCTCAAAAACCTTCTCAAGGCGTTCGTGGAGAAAGACTAACCAAGAAGGAGGGACATCGTCATACCTCAGTGTCTGCTGGCGTATCGTGCCAGTGTGCCGTTTCATGGCAACGAGGAGAGGACTGAGACTTCATATCGACGGAGAGAACCCAGATCCACCAAACGCCGACTCCAGCAATGCCGGCAAAGTTCTTTCGAGAATGGAACGGACCATACGAGGTAAAAGAGGTCGTTTCAGACTGCACATATTACATCCGCTCGATCAACAGACCGGAACAGCGAGCAATTGTAGCGCAGTTTAATCGTCTTAAGCCAGATAAAATTGCGAAGCAGCAGGAGGCCCATGGAGGGTTAGTGGTAGGACAGGAATTCGAGGTATCAGGTGAGAGTGGTGCTGGAACCGCACTGAGGACAGTGCTGTGATGAGAGGAGGGGGGTCGTGTACTGGCGGACTGGGAGCAGTCATCTTGATAATTTAACTAACCACTGTCATTTCCCCCTTTTCCTCTCACAGGCCACGCAGGTGGAGAGAATCACCTAAAGGTTGTTGAGCTAAACAGACCAATCAGGACTGACAGGAACAAGTACGAAAGATCCGAAGAATTCTGATTGGTTGCTGTGTCTTCCTCAGAACCTCCCTCTATTCATACCCATGTACATTTTTATAATACACACGTATTTCAAACAGTAGACGATTCTCCACTCATCTGTCCTCCGCTGAGTGCTGTGGCATCG